CTGCCTTCAGCTCAGGTCATGATCCTGGAGTCCCAGGATGGAGTCCCACATGGGGCTGCCTACTTGGCAGGGAGTCTGCTTCTCCCTCTGACCCCCCCTCCCCCATGCTCACTCTCTCTCTCTTTCTCTCTCTCTCTCCCAAATAAATAAAATCTTTAAAAAAAATTCATTTCATTCAACAATTTTTTTTTTTTTTTAACATTTAGTACCAGTCATTGTTTTATGTACTGGGTAGAATGGTGAATATAACAGACAAAAATTCCTGCCTTCATGGGGCTCCCATTCCAGTAGGTGAAGGCAGGTAACTAAGTAAAATAAATAGTATGTTGACAAATGCTAAGGATAAAAAAGTAGAGAAGGACAAGAAGGGTTTTCGAAGAATGAAGTGTTATAAATTTAAATTAGTTGGTCATAGAGAGCCTCTCTGAGATGGTGACATTTGAGCGGAATCCTGAAGGAGGTGAGACCTGAGCCATGTGGTGATCCAGTAGAAGGCAATCTAGGCAGAACAGCATGTGCAAAGGCCCTGAGGTAGGAGCAGGCCTGCATGTTTAAGGGCCAGCTCAGAACTCAATGTAGCTAGAGCAGAGTGAGGGAAAGGAAAAATAATAAGAAACAAAATAAGAGACAGGCCAGAAGATGTAGGGTCTTGTAGGTTGTTATATATATTTTTAAGATTTTATTTATCTGAGAGAGAGAGAGAGAGAGCAAGAAAGAACACAAGATGGTGGAGGAGTAGTGGAGGGAGAGGGAGAAGCAGGCTGAGCAGGGAGCCCGATGTGGGGCTGGATCCCAGGAATCCGAGATCATGGCCCAAGCCAAAGGCAGATATTAACCAACTGAGCCACCCAGACGCCCCAGGCCTTGTAGGTTATTATAAATACTGGCTTTACTCCAAGAAAGGAAGCTACTAGCAGCTTGGAGCAAAGGAGTGACATGCTCTGACTTACCTTTCAAAAGGAACACTCTAGGGGTGCCTGGCTGGCTCAGTCTGTTAAGTGTCTACCTTCAGCTCAGGTCAGGATCCTGGAGTCCTGGGATTAAGCCCACATCAGGCTCCCTGTCCAGCAGGGAGTCTGTTTCTTCCTCTCCCTCTGCCTGCCTCTCCTCACCTGTGCTCGTTCTCTCTCTTTCTCTCTCTCTCTCTCTCTCTCTCTCTCTCTCCCTCCCTCAAATAAATAAATAAATAATCTTTAAGAGGAAGAAAGGAACACTCCAGCTTTTGTGATGACTGAGGTGGAAGCAGGGAGACCCTTTTAGAGGGGTATAGCAGGAATGAGGACAATAATTGTGCCGGCTTGAACCAGGAGACACCAAAGGACGTGGTGAGAGGTAGTGGGTTCTGGATATAGATAGAGAAGGCAGAGCCATCAGGATTCATTGACAACTCAGGTGTAGAGTGTGACCAATAGGCATCAAAGACCCCCAAATTTTTGGTCTCAGTGGCGGGAAAGATGGAGCCATTAACTTCATTGGGGAAGATGGCAGGAGGGGCAGATTTTGTGGGGGAAAGTCAGGAACTCAGTTTGTGACCTGTGAGACTTGAAATGCCAGACTCGATGCCCAAGCAAATAGCGCTGGGTAGTAGTTGGATACATGTCAGTTTGGAGTCCAGGGGCAGAGGCCATCAGCACGTGGATGGCATGCACAGTGGTGAGAATGGATGAGACCTTGAAAGAAATGAGAGTAGAGAAGAGACAAGAACCAAAAACTTTGCTTTGGGACCCTCTGACGTCCAAATGTTGTGGAGGTGAGGAGGAACCAGCGAAAGCCTCTGCCGAGGAGTAGTCCGTGCAGCAGGAGGAAAATCCGAGAACTTTAGGATTCTAGTATGTGAATACAGGAAGGCGAGTGGTAATTGGAAGCCAGCATGTGTTTACTTGGAACAAGGGATCCCTTTCCTGTTTCCTGGAAAGATTACCAGGCTGGCTGATGGAGACAATGAAATAGATACCTTGTGTTTTGCTTTTAGCAAGGAGTCCATAGGTGCTTGTGACCTCCTTGTCATGGAACCAATAATTGGGTTGCTGAGTATATCTGTAGGTCCATGCATTGGATGGGAGGTCTCTCATAACAAACAAAAACATCTGGAACTAGTTCTTCATCTTTTTTTTTTTTTTTAAGATTTTGTTTATTTATTTATTTGACACGGAGAGAGATCACAAGTAGGCAGAGAGGCAGGCAGAGAGAGGGGGGGGAAGCAGGCTCCCTGCTGAGCAGAGCGCCTGATGCGGGGTTCGATCCCAGCACCCTGAGATCATGACCTGAGCCGGAGGCATAGGCTTAACCCACTGAGCCACCCAGGAGCCCCTATCTGTTTTTGTTTTTTTTTTAAGATTTTATATATTTATTTGAGAGAGAGAGAGAGAGCATGAGAGGGGAGAAGGTCAGAGGGAGAAGCAGATTCCCCGTGGAGCTGGGAGCCCGATGCAGGACTTGATCCCGGGACTCCAGGATCATGACCTGAGCCGAAGGCAGTCGCTCAACCAACTGATCCACCCAAGCGCCCCTAGTTCTTCATCTGCTGAACAAATATTTCATGAGGGCATGCTATGGGAGTGCAAGGGGATATGTCCTCCCTTACACACTCTGACCCCCTACCCATTCATCTGCTGGGTTCCTAAATGGGCATTGTCCCCTTTCCAATTACTCTCCAGTTATTTGCTCCAAGAAGACTGCTCCCTTTTGCCCTTCAGCACTTGGTGATCTTGGTTGTCCATCAAGACCCGATTCAAGAAGCTCCTCCTCTAGGAAGTCTCCTTGGATCTCCCCCCACCCCCGTTCCATACAGGCACTCCTCCTTGCATTTCTTCCACAGCCCTTATCCCTTTATATTGTGATCGCGTCTCTGTAAGCCTGAGAGCATCTCCATCTGTTGTTTAGAGAGGCAGCCTAGCCGTGGCTGAGTTCAAGCCCCAGCGCCTGTTTCTGCATCTCATCCTTACCACTGACTAGCAAGTCACTCAAGTTCTCTGTGCCTCCGTTTCCTCAATGCTAAGTGGGGCCGATAATAGTATGTACCTCAGAGGAATGTTGTCATGATTAAACGCGCTAATTTGTGAATGTCTCAGAATAGTGCCTGGCAGGTGGTACACTAGTACCCAGTTAGCTGCGACTATTTTTATGAGTAGTAAAAGTAGTGTGCTTCATGCCAAGCCTGCAACACTCAGCGTCTTATTCAATAAATAGCTCCGAGATAGAAAAGCTTTAGATGGGAAATGTCGGGGACTATCCCCCTCCCGCCTTCAAAAGCCCTGCTCTATGGCAGAAAGTACCCTCCGACTCCACCAGTCTTGTCTCTATCATTCACCCATCTCCTAGTCACCAGTTACCATGAATTAGAGGCTTAAGATCTGGCTCACCATCCTTCCCTCCTTCCTCATTCTTGTCAGTGTCCTTGGTGAACTTCGCCATCTGCACAGACCCATCCTGTGCCTGCCTTCAGTACACTTCCTTTTCCAGTGCAGGGGATTTCTTACCCCACCTTGGCCACTGTCCCCTCTGTCCACACCCAGGAACCTGTCCTTCCTGGCCTGTTTCCAATGCCCCTCTCTCTCTTGGATCTTATATTCCAACACATGGGGCTCAGCTTGTGTCCTTACTCCAAGTCTCTGACCACAAGGCCACCTGTCAACTGTTGTTTTCATCTTCATCTCATTGTCCTTCAGTGTCCCTGGCTGTCCTTCCCCAACCAGTCCAGACTAGGTCCTGTGGTCCATTTTACATTCCCATTCCCTTCAACTTCTGCTTCCCTCTCTCCCTTGGTCACACTAGCTTGGCCAAAGCCCCATCCTGGAGGAGCCCTCCCAGCCACTCTCTCCATGCCAGAACCCGAGGAGCTGAACAGCTGTCGGAAAACACGTGCTCAGGGGACGAGCTTGCCTTTAAGTTGATGGTCCCTACCTCCAGTTCACGCTGCCTAGCTGTCCTGTTTCTCTGGTTCTCTCTGGGAGGCCTCCCTCTCCACTCCTATGATGATAATTTGATGCCTTCTCTCTGCTCAGCCTGTACGCTCTCTCCCCCAACCTCTCTCTTAGCCGATGACCTCAGCCCCCACTTCATAAGAAGACTGAAGTCACTGGATGTGTCTGTCTTCGTCTTCCTACCTGTACACCCACAGATCTACCTGCACTTGGACCCATCTTGTCTTTGCAGCCTGTGTTGGGTGAGCAACACCCCTCTTCCTTTATGAGCCAGTCTGGGGTCACCAGGGACCTAGTGAGCAGTGTAAGAAATGAACATAAACAGGGCCAAGGGGGATGCCCTGCCCACCACTGGCCTGTCCTGTTCCTTCTGTGGAAAGATGGAGGGATACCAAGCACCCCAGGATGGGGGATAGAGCTAGGGGCCACTGGGGCCACAGGATCTTTATAAAACCGCCCCTCCCTCCTCCTTGGGAATTTCACCTTTAGCTGTGGGGAGAAGGAGAAGAGGAATGTCTCTCCGGTACCATAGAAGCCTTTGCTGAGTCGAATGGCCGAGGAAGAGAAGGCTCCAAACATCTGGAAAGCAGAAGAGCTTTGCTGTGGCAGCTGGCAGGGAGTGGAGCTTAGTAATATAGGCTTATCCAGCAGGGCGCCCAGGGAGCCTGGGACAGAGCTGGGGGTGGGGAGGGCCGCATGGGCCCATCAATGCCTGTCCTTTCCTTTAATATTCCCCAAGGAAGAACTCTTGCTGGCGTCTTCCTAGTTTTTCTTAAACGTGCTTATTTTGTAAAAGTAATCCTTGTAGAAAAGTATTAGAAGTTATAGACAAGCAGAAAGAGAAACTAAAGTTATTCCAATTCCCCCTTCTGCTCTGCAAGGTGACTTTAACGTTTTGCTGAGTTTCCTTCCAGCATCTGTTTAATGCCAGTGTATATATTCTTTTTTTTTTTTAAGATTTTATTTATTTATTTGTCAGACAGAGATCACAAGTAGGCAGAGAGGCAGGCAGAGAGAGATGGAGAATGGGGATTTTTCTCATGTATGACCACAATACCAACATCTCACCTAAGAAAATTAACAGTAATTCCATAACACTATCTAGTATCCAGTTCCTAATACATTTTCTCCATTGGCCCAAGAGTGCCTTTCATATCCTGCTTTAGGAACAAAAACTTGGGGCGCCTGGCTGGCTCAGTCGGTGAAGCATGCAACTCTTGATCTTGGGGTTGTGAGTTCAAGCCCCACATCGGGTAGAGAGATTACTTACAAAAATAACGTCTTAAATAAATAAATAAAAATAAAAACAACACTTTTAATAGTTATGGCCCTACATCATCTTTCTTCCCAGCCCTTGGTAATAATAGTTCACTATGAAGCAGAGCCACAGTTCACTTGGCCATTTTCTCCCGTGGGATAGTTGATGGACTTTAAGTTTTCCCTCTCATACAGAGCGTTGAGGGGCAGAGGCAGGACCACTGGGAGGCAGCCATGGGGAGTCGGTTTTGGCTTAATATAAGGAATCACCTCCATGGTCAGTGGCATTCTGCTAAGGAAGGAGCTCCATCTTGAAGACGTGAGCTCCGTGGCCTTGAGGTGGAAGTTCCTTGATATTGGTGTCTTGAGACGGAAGGAGCGCCTGTGCACATGAGTGTCCTCAGGGGGCCCTCAGGATTTCTAACATGTTCCTCCCATGGAAGAGCAATTGAAACCAGCATTTACCTCCTCTCCTGGCCCCTGTCTAGAGAGCCTGGTGCCTGGCAAGATCCACACCCCCCACCCCTGGCCTTGGTGAGACAACAGGGATCTGAGACCATGCCCTCCCAAGGTCCGAGGCGGCCTCCTCATAGCTGGCTTTCCCTCTTGGCCCCCAACTATCAGGGGGATGTTTTCAAGCATAAATGGTTCATTAAGGTGTAGAGCCCCCTCTTGAGATGTCTCCCCAGTTGATTATTTGCTTCACCTCTGGCCTGCCTCCCTGGTAGGCCTGTAGCTCCAAGAGGGCTGGAACCACTTCTGTCTTGACCTTGCTCTCATCCACATCCACATCTAAACTCACACATAATAAGTGCTTAATGTACATGAGTTGAATGGCTGAATTAGGGAAGGAAGGAAAGAAGGAAGGAAGGAAGGGAGGGAGGAAGGGCTCTGAACAGGGGAGGTCTCAATGTCTTCATCATTGTCCCTTGCAAGTGACAGGCTGTCACCTCTGCCTCCCGCCCCTGAGGCTACCCTGGGGCAGGGCCCCCGAGTGTGGTTGGGTGGGGCCAGGGCCCAGCTCACCTGCCCATCCTGGTCCCTCAGCACCAGCAGCACTGGCCCACTGTGGCCTTCCATCTGCCTGTACAGGCTCTGCAGGCTGAAGCCATCTCTCGATGTGCAGAAGGCCAGGCTCCAGGGATGTCCCATGACTCTTGCGGGGAGGTGGAGGCTGAGCTAGGAACAGAGCTGGAGGTAAGCGAAGGATCTGCATCCTTCCCCCTCCTTCCACCCTGCCCGCAGGGTCCCAGAAGGACTGAGGTTGCACAGGCCCCACTCACACAGGCATGTGACATTATGGGTACCAGAGGAGTTTACTGTTTCCAAGAGCCCATTAGAGAGGGATTATCATTCCCATTTTACGGTTGAAGAAAATTAGGCTCAGGGAGGTAAAGCAACTTGCCTAAAGGCCACATGGGGAGTAAGTGGCAGAGCTGGGATTTGAACCAAGGTCAGTTCTCCCTCAGAACTTCCTCCCCTTGGTCACCTTGGTCCCTAGAGGCTGGAAAACAGATGAGATGTTGAATCCCTCCCTGTAATCCTCCCTACCTCATCCTTCCACCTTCGCCCCGGGCCTTGGGACATAGCAGGAGCGACCCCAGGTGTCCTTGGACCTGGCTGGGGTAGGGCAGGAGGGCGGGACCCTAAGGCTCCTGGCACTGCGCCCGAACCTGCCTAATCTCCGAGGCTCCTAGAACCTGGCTGGCTTCTGCCAGCTGGGGCTCCACCGGATCTTCAGGAGCAGGAGCTGAGACCGGAGCCAGGGCTGGGGCTGTCTCCTCTTCCTCCTCCTCACCCTCCTCCACAGACAGAGCATCCTCCACCCGGCTGGGCTGTGAAGACACAAAGAGGGACAAGGAGACACCGGCTTCCATGTCTTCGGAGCCAAAAGCCTCAGCTGCCTCATCACCCCTGCTCAGGACCCAGCCACCACCAGCCCGGACAGAGGAGGCTGGTGCCCATGACTGACAAGACCCGCCCCTGCCAGCCCAAGGTCAAAGGTACACATGCACATCAGATGTGGCCACCATGGACTCTGTGGTTTGTCTGCCAGCCTGCCCTAGATCCAGAGTAGATGCCAGGGATCAAGTTCGAAGCTCAGGGACAGGGAGAAGGGCAGGTGGCAGCCCGGCCCAGCCCAGCCCTGAGAGCTGCAGCCGTGTGTGTCTGCACTTGAAACAGTGATAATAATATCAATGATCCGAACAATAACAATGCAGACAGCGGCCAATGTCAGTCAGTGCACCCTTGACCAGGACTGGCTGAGTGCTTGCTGTGCATATCTCTCTATATTTTCCCAAGAATCTTAAGAATGTTCTCCTTACTCTCTTATTTTACAAAGAAAAGGAATGAGGGCCAGAGGCTTCCCTGTCAGCCAGGGAGACAACGCATGTAGCAGCTGAGAAAGCACGTGCAGGTCTGTGTGAGATGTGTGTTCGTCCGTGGGAAGGTGTGCATCGGCTTAAAATAGACTTGTGTTGGCGAATCAGTGTGAGAAGGTGTTGAGTAACTTTGTGTGTTTACCCATCAACATGTTGTGAGTGTGAGTTGGGATTGTATAAATAGGTGTGTGTTGGTGTGGATGTGGATTGGCTCATGCATTCATTCAGTCGAGCTTCCACTCTGTGCTAGAGTGTGTGTTTGAGGGCGTGTGCGTGTGTGTGTGCGTGTGTGTGTGTACACATGCATCTGCCCACAATGACCTGGGGACTCTTCCTAAGAAGGAGAGACCTCCTCCAGGATGAAAAATGACCAGGACACTGCTTTCCTATTCCCCAGGTTCAGGCCTAAGGAGGGGGTCCTAGCTGCATGGGGCTTCTGGACAGAGCTCCAACTGGCTGGAGACAGGAGTCTGTGCTCTTTGGGGTCTCAGGACCATGGGGAAGGGGATCCAGGTCCCTGGGTCCTGAACTCTGAACTCCAGGGCAGCTGGAGAGGGACTTGAAAGGGGAACAAAGCACCCGCCTACATCCAATCCTAGCCCAGACCCCACCCTGCCAGAGATCTGGCCTCCCTGCTTTTGCTGGCCTGACCTCCCCAGCCCAAGCTGGGCCCCTTACCAGCCGAGTGTAACGCCAGCGGAGACCTTTCATTCTGTCCGAGCCAGGGCCTGGTAGGAAGAGTCCTGAGCTCTCCCAGGAGAGGAAGCAACTGTGGTTAAGGCCTAGAGATGAGAGGGAGAGGCCTGGGCACACCCTGCTAGCTCCTGGCCACCCAGCTGCCCTTTGCTCTCTCTCTCTCTCCCGTCTCTCCCAGGATGAATCGTCACTGGGTAGGTCTATGAGGTCACCTACCCTCAGCATTCAAGGTCTCATTGGAGTTAGCAACTAATCTGTATTAACGATACCCAGTAAATTCTAGCTGATTCCCTTCCATCTCCTTAACCTTCTGGAAACTTGGCCTAGGGATTCTGGCCCTTTTGGGCAGATGCCTGAGCTCTAGGCTGGGAGTCTGGAGTCTCTGGTTCTCTCTCTGACCTTGGATAAGTCCCTTGTACCCTTGGGCTTCAGTTTTCCCAAACAAAACATGTTGGACCAGATCATCTCAGAGGCTCTCACAATGCTGACTGCTGGCAACTCATTTCCCTCTGAAAGCCAGTGGGTGTATTTTAACAGAAGCTCAAAAGGAGCCAAGCCTAAACCAAAAGAACAAGTGAACAAAAATCTTCATTTTTCTTATTTAAAAAGTAAGGCATGTATATTATAGAAAGTTTGAGAAACGTAGAAAAGAATAAAGAGAGATAAAAAAATATTCATAATTCCATCTCTCAGAGATAAACTCTCAACCCTTAACTGTATTTTTTCCAGTCTTTTTCATTTTATAAATTGCCTTTTCCACTTAAAAATGAGAATTTTCCAGTTACATTCAGCACCTTTTGAGCACATGATTTTTAATGACTACGTATTATCTCATCATAGGATGTATCATTTATTCCTTAACTGTTGGACATTTTGTTTGTTTCTATGATTTCTGTGATTATAAGCAAAACTGTAGTGAAATTCCCTGCTCATAAATACAATTATATACTTTATGATAAACTTCAGAAGTTGAATGCTGAATCAAAGGGCATACACACAGGTTTTTTTTTTTTTTATTTGTTTGTTTGTTTTTTAAGTACTCTCTGCACCCAGCATAGGGTTCTTTTTTTTTTTTTTTTAAGATTTTTTTTTTTTTTTTTAATTTATTTGACAGATCACAAGTAGGCAGAGAGGCAGGCAGAGAGAGACAGGAGGAGGAGGCAGGCTCCCCACTGAGCAGAGAGCCCGATGCGGGACTCGATCCCAGGACCCTGAGATCATGACCTGAGCCCAAGGCAGAGGCTTTAACCACTGAGCCACCCAGGCACCCCCCAGCATGGGGTTCTAACTCACGACCCCAAAGTCGAGTGTTGCAGGCCACTGGCTGAGCCAGCCAGGCACTCCCATATAGTTCTTTTTTTTTTTTAAAGGTTTTATTTAATTGGGCGCCTGGGTGGCTCAGTGGGTTGGGCCTCCGCCTTCAGCTCAGGTCATGATTTCAGGGTAAATAAATAAATTAAATAAATAAATAAATAAATTTAAAAAATTTAAATAATAAAAATAAAAATAAAAAAATTTTTAGAAAGGTTTTGTTTACTTATTTCAGATAGAGAGGCCAAGTATGAACAGGAGGCGGGCCAGAGGAAGAGGGAAAGAGACAAGTAGACTTCCCTCTGAGCCAGGAGCCTGACATGGGGCTCAATCCTAGGACCCAGAGACCATGACCCCCACCCCCCAAAGTCTTATGCTCAACCCACTGAGCCACCAGGAGCCCCCTATAGTTCTTTTTTTTTTAATTTTATTGTTTTTTTTTTAAAGATTTTATTTATTTATTTGACAGAGAGAGATCACAAGTAGATGGAGAGGCAGGCAGAGAGAGAGAGAGAGGAGGAAGCAGGCTTCTTGCTGAGCAGAGAGCCTGATGTGGGACTCGATCCCAGGACCCTGAGATCATGATCTGAGCCGAAGGCAGCGGCTTAACCCACTGAGCCACCCAGGCGCCCCAGTTCTTTTTTTTTTTTTTAATAAATATTTATTCATTTGACAGAGAGAGAGATCACAAGTATGCAGATCAGCAGGCAGAGAGAGAGGGGGAAGCAGGCTCCCCGCTGAGCAGAGAGCCTGATGCGGGCCTTGATCCCCCAGGACCCCCAGATCATGACCTGAGCCGAAGGCAGAGGCTTAACCCACTGAGCCACCAGGCGCCCCCTATAGTTCTTGATAATGTTTCCAAGAAGGAAGTCTTCCCAGAGCTTAAAGCTGACCCACCTTGAAGTATCTTTAGCGAATCTCAGGGAAATCTATTTCTGATCATCAAATTTTATACCCTTAAATTACAGATAAGGAAATGACCACCCAGAAAGTGGAAGAGACCTACCATAGCCCCACTAGTATAACACGGTGGTGACAAGTACAGTCTCTGGAGTCAGGGAGTTCAAATCCTGGTTTTGCTACTCTCTTACTATGTGACCTTGGGCAAGTTAATTAACATCTCTGTGCTTCACTTTTCTCTTCTGTAAAATACTAATAACCACCTCATAGGGCTGTTGTAAGAGTAAAAGAAAATAATGCCCGGGGTGCCTGGGTGGCTCAGTCAGTTAGGCATCCAGCTCTTGGTTTCAGCTGGGATCAGCTGGGATGGAGCCCTGGTCAGTGGGGAGTCTGCTTAAGGATTCTCTCCCTCTACCCCTTCCCCCACTCATGCATGCGTGAACTCCCTCTCTCTCAAATAAAGAAATAAATAAACCTTGAAAAGAAAAAAAGATAATGTCTGAAGAACTAGGATGCTGGACCCAGCCTCCGTCCTTCTGTTAGCCATTCAGTGAGATAACCCAGAGCGCCCGGTGTTTGGTGAGCAGTGGGTAAATGACAGTGCTTACCACTATCCCCCCCACACCGCCTCTGAGAAATCCAGGGCGCAAATTCCTGACACATGGCCACTCAGTCTCCATCTGGGCTCTTCTGGGACAGATGGTCATGTGGTCATTAATGGGGGGAAGAAGTAGCTCAGTGGGCAAGGAAAAGGCAGGAACTGTGGAAAAATGTACTTACGCTGCAAAGCCTTGGCTTCTGGCAATCTCCCAGCCTGTCCAGCCCGAGGATTTCCTTAGCACATCTCCCTGAGAGACAGGGCCACTTCCAGAACGAACTCTTCCATCCGGCAGTCTGTCCGAAGCAGCTTTAGCTCTGCATCCTGGTCCCCCCCAACCCCCAGCAGTGGCAGCTAGCCCCTCTGCCCCAGCCAGGCTCCAGGCGCTCCTCCCTGGCTTTTATACCTGCCTCGAGGGTGGCAGCCCTGGCCTTGTGCCCACTCCCGTTCCAGTCGGGAAGCCTGGCGGGAAGCCTGGCAGTGATTATCGTCCATCAGAAACTCAAATCCCATAAACACACACAAACAAGACCTTGTCACCCTCTGACCTCCAGCTCTGCTCTCACCAGTCCAAGGGGATGGAGGACACTGACATCATAGCTGTCAGGTGCCACCCAGTGCCTGAAGCCTACCATGAGGAACTTTGCTTTATCAGGTACAAATGCTACAGGAAAGGGCAATGCTATGGGACTCTCTGTTGATTACCCTGCCCCGATGCTGTTGTGGGGGAAGCCCAGGGCTGGGAGGCAGAGAGCGGTCCTGCTCTGTCCTGCTTGTTTTCCCTCTCTCTGATGGAGTGAGGATTCTTTCCTCACTGGCCTATTGTGACAGTACGTGAGATCATTCTCAGGAAGCCCAGTGTTTAGCACACAGTAGGCACTTTGCGCACAGGGGTTCCTTTTCTGTCCCTGGCTCATGGTAGGAGCCCATGAATGCTGTGTTGTCAAACCACAGGACCTCAAGTTGGAAGAGGCTTCAGCTAATCCCAGAATAAGCAGTCTTGCCCAGGGCAGTGTCCCCTGGAGAATATGCCCACCAGTGGTCTCTTGGCCTCTGCTGGGTGGGTGGCCCCTTGTCTCAGGAGGCCCACCTCATTCTCATACAGCTGAGAGGGTTCTCTTCTGCTGGGCTTTGCGTTGAGGACCTGAGTCCCTACATAGGCTGCCCAAGGCCAGGACTCTTGGAGCAATGCCCTCTCCAGGAAGGGTGGGGTGCAGAAAAGACTTGTATTATGGGGAAAACAGGCAAGTGAAGGGCCCTGTTGCCATCCCAAACACGGCTGTTGCACTATGTGTTTAAACTGTAAATGGTCAGGGGTCACACGTTTGGCTCTCTGAGCCCTCCTGGCCCTTCTCCGGAACCTTATTTCCCCTAGGCTTAATGCCTGACCCACTGGGCCCTTTGAGAAGCCAGTAAGATCTGCTTTTGTGCTCGTGTCCAGGAAAATCCAGAATGTGACCTGTCAGGACCACCCATTGCCAATAATAGGCCCCCGAAAGCTCTCATGATGGGATCCTAGGCGCCAGAGTGCCAGACATCCCAGCTCTGCCTTGGAGCTTGCGTTCTCCTTTCTTCTCCAGACCACATGCCGCCTCTCTCAGAACGCCACTATTATTGCCAGGAAACAGTCTGAATGTCCAATAAAAGGGGGAAAGGTTAAGTGACCCTTGGAACATCCACTCCGTGGATTATTTCTAAGTATTAAAAGTGATGTTTACAAAGAGTTTATAAATGCACGGGGAAATGCCTCTGCACTCTGGTGAGTGGGAAGAGGCAGGACATAAAATCCTATGTGCTGCACGGTTTCAGCTATGGGAGGTACACTTGGCTAGAGTCCTTTCTAGAAAATACTCCATGCTTTCTGGGTGGGCTGGCTTCACCTCACATGTCCTGGGAAATCCAGTTTCTGTTCTCTGAGAACTGAGGTCTTTGCGCTCCTTGGTTTCCTCACTCTCACCGGGTGACTTTATTCTCCACTGAGAAAACAGAAGCCATCGTCTGTCACCCCCTCACCCACCTGACAGAAGCCCCTGCATCTCATTCAAGTCTTCCATCCTTTCTCCAGGACAATGGAGGTAAGGGCCCTGCTCCTTTCAAAAGCCAAGACCCCATCCCTCTATCCGTCTGTCCCTCTGCTCTCTCTCTTTCCATGTGACAGTCCCCTCCCCAAATGCCCCATTTCTCTTCTTCCTGCACTCCACCTCTATGTCCTGTTCACTTGTCAGTCCACTCCCTTTGGCTTCTGTCCCCACCACCCTGCCTCCCCACCTACTCAGTGAGGACTCCCTGACTATATTATACTTAAAGCAGGTTCCCCTACTAATTCCTCTAATTTTCCCACAGCCAGTGGTTTGTTTCTACCATGATTTGTACGATGAAAAGAAAAAATCTTTAGTTTAAAAAAAAAAAATCACCTCTTCTTTGAAGCCTTCCTGGATTTAGTCTTCCTTCTGTTTTCACCATGTTGGTCAATTTAGTGGCTTGAATGGGAGAAAATAAACTGCTTTTCCACTGGGTCACCAGCATCATTTCTTATAATCTGATATCTAATTCTTATAATCATTTGATGCTTCATTCCTTCTTGGGTAGAGCTTCATGCAGCATACACTGTGTGCCTGAGCTGAACATTGCCCATTAGCGCAGCACAACAGACTCTGAAACTGGATGACCCTGGGTTCTAATCGGTCTCAGCTCTACCACTTCCAAGCTGTGTGACCTTGGACAAGCATTCCAGTTATTCACTGCTGCGTAACAAACTACCCCAATACCTTGCAGCTTAGAACAACAATATTTATTTTGCGGTTTGAGACAGCTCATTTCTGCTCTACTTGGCATCCACTGGGACAGGGCCAAGGCTGGGGGCTGAATCCTCTGAAGGTCCACTTTCTCACGTGTCTGGGGGTTAGCGGGGACCAGAACCACCGTTGTCGGCTGGAACACCTTCACTAACCTCTCCAGGAGGCCTGGGCTTCCTCCCAACATGGTGGCTGGGTTCTAAGGTGAGTGGATTAAGAGAGAGAGCTCATGAGCACACGAGAGAGCGCTGAAGAGCTTTTTTTTTTTTAAGATTTTATTTATTTATTTGACAGACAGAGATCACAAGTAAACAGAGAGGCAAAGAGAGAGGAAGGGAAGCAGGCTCCCTGCTGAGCAGAGAGCCTGATGCGGGGCTCGACCCCAGGACCCTGAGATCGTGACCTGAGCCGGAGGCAGAGGCAGTGGGTTAACACTGAGCCACCCAGGCACCCCTGAAGAGCTTTTTATGAGCTAGCCTTGGAAGTCACAGCATCACTTGCCACTGTCTGTTGGTGGAGGCAGTCACAAAGGCCTACTGAGGTTCAAAGGTAAGGGATATAGATCCTGTCCCTCAACGGGAAGAGTGTCAATACCACACTTTAAAAAGAATGATTAGGATGAGTTGTATATTGTTGTACCTCTCTTTGGAAAATACAGTCAAGTACAAGGGGCTCCTAAGCTTGGGCATCTGGATGGCCCTGTTGGTGAAGCATCTGCCTTCAGCTCAGGTCATGATCCCAAGGTCCTGGGACTGAGCCCCGTATCAGGCACCCTGCTCAGCGGAGAGCCTGCTTCTCCCTCTCCTCATGCTCCCCTGCTTGTGTATGCGCACATGCTCTCTCTCTGTCAATAAATAAACTAAAGAAAAGAAAAGAAAGAAGCTCCTAACCTTCCTGAGATCCTCTACTGAAGGGTTGAGCGCAGAGCCTAGCCTAAGTGAGTGCCCAAGGGTCAGGAAGCTGCAGACAGCCTCCCTGTCTGCGTGTAACCAATTCTAAACTCCCAGCAAGTCTCATTCCTTCTGTAGTTTCCCTGGTCTGAACTGAGCCTGAGTCTAGACCCCCCCTGCATAGGCGCCCCCACCCCCAACCTTGGACTCCACCCCACCAGGGTCTTGCTGCTTTCCTGGGGCAACGCTGTAGATTCATGGCTCCCCCAACCCAAAGACCCTCAGAGCAGGAAGAGCCCTCAGATTCCCCCCACTCTGGGCCATGACTGTTGGGACCCAGGCAAAACGTATGGTAAAGCCAGGACTCACACCCAGGTCCAAGTGGGAAGATTGAAGTCACTGTACTCTCAGGACCACAAGTATGGCCATGGGTTTGTTAGGAATGGCTGAGCTGGCCTGGACTAGCATGTCCCCTGCCTGGATTCACACCATCCGGCCTCTCCAAGCCCACATTCTGCATAGAGGAGAAACCGAAACACAGAGAAGGTAAACCATTTCTGAGAACTCACTAGCATTCTCTGTACCAGTCTACAAGAAATGGGGACATCAGAGCTAGAAGGACTCTGTCATCTGCTACATCAGACTAAATCAGGTGGGGACTCGGGGGCACAGGAGGTGGGAAGGCTTGCTCTGGCCCTTGCCCCCATGCCACACAACCCCACTTCATTTTTTAAAAAAAGATTTTATTTATTTATTTGATAGAGAAATTACAAGCAGGCAGAGCAGTAGGCAGAGAGAGGGGGAAGCAGACTCCCTGATGAGCAGAGAGCCCGATGCGGTGCTAGATCCCAGGACCCTGGGATCATGACCTGAGCCGAAAGCAGAGGCTTAACCCACTGAGCCACCCAGGTGCCCCAACTCTACCTCATTTGTAGTGAATCTGCGGTGGCCCATCTCCTTCCTATACTGGATGCTTCACGAGGTCAGGAAGGCACCGTGACAAGTCCACTCATTGTTCTACCTGGTGCCTCTGGACTAGGCGAGTAGATGGTTGGGGGAACAGGGGAGCTGTGCTATGCCAGGATAGGTTCTGAATGCCCGGAAAGAAGGCTTTGGGGAGAACTTGCTAAGTGGCTCTGCTCCACAGGGCTCTGTGGGGGCGCCTGGAGGAAAATTCTGAGGGTGGAGGGGCACTCACACACCTGGACACACCTAGATCAGGACGAAGCCATGTCTCAGGTGAGAAGGCGCACCCCAGAATTCTCTGCTGCGAGAGAGGTGGGAAAGACATGAAGAAGCAGACCTGGTGTCAACCAATTGTCAAGGGCAGGAGGAAGAGAAGAAACAGGACTGGGGGGGGGAGGGGGGAGAGGAGGAAGGAGCAAAGGGTCCAGTGGATGAAAAGGGGAGGGGTAGGAACGGGGCGGGGTATGGGAGAGAAGCAGGTGCAGAAGGGTAAACATAACCCTGCAGCCCTTCCCAGGGGGCAACGTGGTGCCGCGCTGAGGATGGGTGCCCACTCGTGGGGCAGCCAAAGAACTTAAAACCGACTCTGTATGGTGGTGGCTAGGTGACGGGGAGGAGAGCAGCAGCAGGGAGCGGGGGAGGGGACGGAGGAGGGGAAGGTGTGACAGACACGCGAAAATCCACAGCAGAGCCAGAAGCACAGCCCTGCAAGGAGAGAACGGAAACCCACCAGAGCCAGGGCTCTGGGCAGTCTGGGGTTGCTCAGGGGACGGAACGTGTGGGGATCAGGACAATTGTCTTTAGTCTGCGCCAGCCCCCTCCGGGGGTCAGAATCTACTCCCAAAGCATGGCCGGTCTGACACCTCATAATGGGCCACCCCCATTTTAACTATGCAGAGCCTGAAACCGGGTTGGGGTTGGAGGGAGTATGCCGGAGATCCCAGCCCGCGGAGGTGTGCAGAGCTGGGCATGCACCTAGGGCTCCACGGTCCCTACGCCTGTGAGAGGGAGGCCGAGCTAGCTGAACCAGAGTGGACGCCCTGGAAGTGTGAGGTTAGGGCTCCAACCCCGCTGGGCCATTGACTTTGGGCTAATCGCTTACCTTCCCTCGGCTTCAGTTTATGCATCTGTACTATGGGATAATTGGTCTTGCTTTGCAAGGTTAAGGGGGGCGGAGTTTGCGCACGCTCCGCACGGCCGCGAGGGGCGAGGCACCGGCGGTGTATATGGATGCTGGCTCCTGCGGTCTGAGGTCGGCTCGGCCTCTGCCTCCGAGTCCCCTCGCTCGCTGCTCTCGCGGCCCCTGCCCGGACGCTGGGCAGAGGGGAGCGTCGGCTGGGTGCGTTCCGCTGGCCGGCAGGGGAGGGGGCGGCGGCGGAGCGGAGCAGGAGAGAGCGGGAGCCGCGGCAGCCCCGGCCTGCCTGACCCTCGAGGGGGTCGCTGTTGCCTCGCAGATCCCTCCCTCGCTCGCCGCCTGTGTCCCTCCCTACCGCTCCCGCCGCGTCCGCCTTTTGTTCACGGAGCCGCGCGCCCCCGAGCCGAGGCGGCGGGGCGGGGAGCTGGCGGGGCTGCGCGGGGGGCGGGCCGCGCCGGGCGGAGCCGGGGCCCGGGCCGCAGTCGGACTCGGAGCCCGGGGGAGCGACCGGCGCGCAGGCAGTCGAGGCCCGGGCGCGCTCCGGGGGCGCGGCGAGGCCGAGGGGGCGGGCGCCGGGCGGAGCCGTAGCCGCAGCCGGGGCGCCTGGAGGCGGTCGGGCCGCTCTCTCCGAGCCCAGGGCAGCGGAGAGCCTGTGCGGCGGGGGTCCGGGCGGGAGCGCAGTCCCGCGGCTGAGGTGGGCCGAAAGGAGCCGCCGCCGGAGCGGCCGGAGCGGCGCCGGGACCCTCCCCAGGGGCGCGGAGGCCGGGCAGGCCCGGGCCATGCGCACCGCTCGCTGAGGCCGAGGGAGGCCGCGATGGAGGTGCCGGCGGGGGAACCCCCAGCCCGGGGCTGCGGTCCCCCGCCCGTGCCCGCCCCGGAGAGGAAGAAGAGCCACCGCGCGCCGTCGCCGGCCCGGCCCAAGGACGTGGCCGGCTGGTCTCTGGCCAAGGGCCGCCGCGGCCCAGGCCCGGGCGCCGCAGCCTCCTGCAGCGCCGCGTCCTCCGTGCGGCCGGACAAGAAGGGGCGCGCGGTGGCGCCCGGGGCGCGGAGCGCGGGGACGCGGGTGGCCGGGGTCCGCACCGGGGTTCGTGCCAAGGGCCGCCCGCGCCCCGGCACCGGGCCGCGACCGCCGCCCCCACCGCCCAGCCTCACCGACAGCAGCTCTGAGGTGTCGGACTGCGCGTCGGAGGAGGCCCGCTTGCTGGGCCTGGAGCTGGCGCTGAGCAGCGACGCCGAGTCGGCGGCCGGGGGCCCGGCGGGGGCCCGCACGGGGCAGCCTCCCCAGCCCGCGCCGCCCGCACAGCAGCCCCCGAGGCCGCCCGCCTCCCCCGATGAGCCGTCGGCGGCAGCGTCGTCGGTGGGTAGCAGCCGCCTGCCCCTCAGTGCCTCTCTCGCCTTCTCCGACCTCACCGAGGAGATGCTGGACTGCGGGCCCGGCGGCTTCGTGCGAGAGCTGGAGGAGCTGCGCTCGGAGAACGACTATCTCAAGGTGGGGGCTCCGATGGGGCAGCGGGAGGCCGCGGGAGACGCGGGTTGTGGCGGCCCCAGGGGCCTGAGGCACTAGCCGGCTCACGGCGTCACGGAAGGAGCTGGGAAAGGGGGCCTAAATCCTCGGGGACCACCCTGAGGTCGACGTAGAGCTCCCACACATCCTGCCTCCCTTTTTATTTGGGAAACCGTCTCCCTGAAGAGGAACCCAGTTGAGGAGACGGGCCAGAGGGCCCTGATTTTGGAGGGAGGGAGTCTGGAGAAAACTGCTTTGGAAGATGCCTAGCTGCATTACTTGGGATGGGGTGTGGGGAGTCAGTGAGGGTTTGGAGCCTGTCCTTAAGCTTCTTAGAAGTGCCCCCTCACCCCCTGCTAGGGGCCAGGCCTTTGGTGACTCTCTTTTTGGGGGACAGGTATTGGGGTGCACTTTCGCCGGGGAAACCTGTGGCTGTCCCCTGCCAAGGAGAGGCTGGAACACCGTGCTGAGTCCACCCAGGGCTTTCCTTGGTGCAGGCCTGTCCCCGCCTGTCTTTCAGGGCGGGTCCTGTTTGAAAGCATGACATCTGGGAACATCCCCTTGGCTAGCGTCCGACTTCCGCCCAGTGTAACGGTCCCACAGCCTGGAAGGATGATGTCGTGGGAGAACTGGTTCAGGGGCCGCTTCCTAAATCAATCCCAGGATGTTGTCTTCTGTTCTCTTCTGCCCTGTGCACACAGCAGTCCCACCGGCACCCCATAACCAGGGCCCTTGTCCTTCCTGTGCTCCCGGTGAGAGGAGGGAACCTGTCTGTCTGAAAAAGGGGCATTCCTTCTGGGCATCTTGGGGACCTGAGACCTTCCCTGGAGAGCAGACCCGTCTTGCCTTCATCCTCTCGGGGGACATGAGCACCTACTGGGGACTGGCCAGTCTCTGCCTGCCCACTGCCTGGTCCCCAGCCGCTCCACAGGCAGCCCAGTGCTCACGTACTGGCCATGGCTGGGGAGACTGATAGCTTCGTGGGCTCTCCTAGCACTGGCTGGGCATGGTTTTGGAAGAGGCCGCAGTGCTACCTGCCACTCTTGTCCCTTGATGGCCTGGCACAGCACCCCAGAGTACCCTGGCTGAGAGCCCCAGAATTAACACCCTTCTGCTGATTGATGTCTGCCTGCCGGCACTTAGCTTTGCACTGCGGCTCTTCTGGCCAAGTAGGTTTCCCTCTCGTGAGACTTTTGGGGTCTTGCTCAACTGTCTCTCCCTCCCGATTTTCCCCCAGAATCTCCTCTCCAGCATGCACTCGGGAAATGTTTGTACAATAAAAAGACAGAGTTTGTCTGAATCAGCATAATCCACCCCTTCAGCCTCTGATCTTACCCCAAGTTAGGTCTCAGCTTCCTCATCTGTTAAATGGGTGGGTGGGTCTTCCCAAAGGCCCCATTCACGGCTGACAATTGAAGGCTCAGTAGCGCTCACAGTCTTCAGAAGCCCACAGTCTTCAGAAGCCCACAGTCTTCAGAAGCCCAGGGTGAGGAGAGGCCACGTCGGGGGTGGGTGGGAGGACAGAGACAAGCCAGAAAGAGGTCTGTCCCTGCCCTCTTGGTGCCCTGACTGCTTCTGGCCCTGGCTGCCGGAGCTGCTCTGAACTTAGACCTCCTGGCCCACGCTCTTCATCCTTGCAGGGGAGGTGGGCCCTGGAGCTTTGCTTCAAGGTCTCCTCATACACCAACCCTTGTGGGCTCCTGTCCATTCCATGAAGTTATCGGGCAGAGCTTTGGAGCCCACCTGGGCCAGTGGTGACTGTTAAGATGGACAGTAGTCCCCAAAGGCTGGGGGTTGAGCCCAAGGTCTCCAGGGGCCGAGGCCCGGCTGTGCATCTCCCCCTGCCTGGGCTGGGGCTGAACCACATTTCTGCTTCCGTTCAGCCCTTCAGGCTTCACGGGCAAGTCTCAGGAGGCCACGAGGGGATTTGGGGTCTAGCTTCCTGGCTGTGTGGTCTTGGGCAAGCGACTTACTGTCTCCAGGCCTCAGTTTCCTCATTGTAAAAAGGTCCATCATGCTTCTTCCAACCTTAAAGGTTAAAGGAGATGGTGTGTATAAACACCACTAGAGTGCCTGGCGTGGAGTGAGCCTCCGATGAGGGCGGTTGTGATCCCGGCTGCTCTCCAGCGGGAGGGGACACATTTCCACAGGCATCTGTCATATTCTCTGTGGGTTCTCTGGGTGGCAGAATAGCTTCCTCCCCACCCGAAGCGGGCCTGACTCTTCTGGCCTCTCATTCATTCTTTCCCTATTTATTTAGCACCAAGTGTGTACGGGGCCCTAGTGCAGATCCGAGATACAGCCGTGGACAGGGATGACGTGTCTACATTCACGGAGCTCTGGGTCTAGTGGGGGGTGACTGGGATTTAACAATAGCAGTACAGTAAATCACAGCACAGATCAGGATAAGAGCGAAGAACGATAGCGTGTGCAGAGAGAGCACACAGGTGGGGCTGGGGAGGCCATGGCCTGGAGGATGACATGCCGCCAGCCCATTAGAAGCTGGACTAAGAACATTCCAGAGGCTGAGGGAAGTGGGAAAAAGCATGTTGATTTTGAAGGACAGCGTGGAGACTGGAGAGAGGAAGGAGGTTGTATGGAGAGGTGAGCTGGGCCAGACCATGTGGTTCTCGCTGTGTGCACTTGGGTGGGTCCCTGAACTTGTTTAGAGCTTTGACCCAGCCACCACATCTCATAGAGGTGAGGTGAAAGTCTAGAGGCTGGGGATGTGGACCGTAAGGATAGGGGCTGTTACAGGAGGTGTTTTGTTTATTCTACCGATGGGTAAACTGTGGCCAGAGAGAGGAAGGGACTTGCCTGGGTCCCTGAGCTGGATCTCCCGACAGCCAGGGCTTGGAGTAAGAGTGTATTACACTCTTTTTAAAAAAATTTTTTTATTTTTTTATTTAATTATTTGACAGAGATCACAAGTAGGCAGAGAGGCAGGCAGAGAGTGAGAGGGAAGCAGGCTCTCTGCTGAGCAGAGAGCCCGATGTGGGCCTGGGATCATGACCTGAGCCAAAGGCAGAGGCTTTAACCCACTGAGCCACCCAGGCGCCCCAAGAGTGTATTACACTCTTGACGTGTTTCCTGCCCCTCTGGGCCTCTTTGCTACCCAGATGCCGATACTGAGTTACCAGGAGAAGGACTCCAGATCCCCAGTACGTCCCCTGTAGGTTTCATGCCTCCTGGGTTAAGTCTCAAGTCCGGTGGGGCCCTGCTTGGGCTCACCTCCCAGGCGTGGGGGCCCTGGAACTGTCAGCTGGGGAAGGAAGGCCTCACGGGCGGTGGCAGATCTCCTGTTGCATGAGGCCTGCCCAGGGGCCCAAGTGGGGAAGGAGTGAATGGGGCAGCTGCCTCCCAGTCAGAGAGAGGAGCTGCCGCAGGGAAGGGAGTGAGCTCGCTGTCACTTGAGCTGTTCAAACAAAGGCTGGATGACCTTGCATGTTTGGACAGAGACCTGGGGTTTGTGGAAAGCAGCTTGTAAACTGTACAAAATGTTGGTGGTTGTGATTAGAAGGAACATTCAGGGGGAGATTTATGTGGTGGCTACACCTGAGCTGCCCGACCTCAGGATCCCTTCTGACCAAGGAAGCCTGGAGATGATGAACTTTTGAGGTTCCAGGATTCGAAGATGTAGCTTTAGCTGCAGAGCAGACACGTCGACTGCATTTGACCTTCAAAGTCCTGGTGGCCTGAGCTCTTCCAGCTCCCTATCACCGTTAACCGTTACGTGCCATGTGGTGAGGACATGCGGGAAACCCATTGGAGTGTGGATGAAAGAATCTGAAAGTTGGGGCCCAAAGACCCGACTTTGACACCCGACTCTCCATTTACTGTGTGGCCGTGAGCAAGTCACTTGGCCTCTCTGAGCTCCTTTTTTCCTTTTCTTCTTTAATGAAGATGAAGGAACCTACCCGGGCAGCTTCATAAGATTGTTTTCAGGAATCAGGGAGGTATGAATAGACAAGAGGACATTCTAGAAGCAGTGAAATCCACATCTCTTGGGGGGAATTGTTGTCATTGTCAACCCATGAACATACAGGATGTCTGTGTCTTCATTCTTGGGGAAGCGGGGAAAAGCCAGGAAGGTGAATCCCTGTAGCTCTGAGATGGTAATAAATCAGGAGCTGCTTCAGGGAGGACCGGAAGGTGTGATCAGATTCCATGCTGTGCCCCCCCCCAATGTCCCCCCTACCCCCTGCCTCCTCGGAGGTTCTAGGTGTGAGTGTTTGAAGTACAGCTGTCAACCCAGGAGGGCCCAGAGGAAGCATCTAATCCGTGCCCTGTTCTCACTTACAGTAGGGTACGTGGAGGCCCCAGGTCAAGCCAGGATTCCAGACCTCTGCATCCTGTTCTTTCTGCAGCATGAGTGGAGCCGTGAGCTTTGTACTGCTAACAGTGCATCTCATCTGGGACACAGCTTGCTGAAAGGAATCCTGTTGTGTGGTGGGCTCTAGGCTAAGACTTGTCGGGAACAAGTGAGGGGAACGAATCCCGGGACCTGAGGCTGGGGCCTGCAGGTGGGGGAGAGGGACGTGTGCATGCATGCCTGGATGTGAGTGTATCCTGCACTGGTGCAGCACGTGATTGGATGAAGGGAATCTGAGGTCCTGGAGGAAATGATGGGGCTCTGGATCCAGCCTGAAGGGTTAGTTAATGGTTAGGCTGGAGCCCAGGGTGCTGGAATGGGAGAGCCAGCCTGGGGACCCCCAGACCACTGATCCCTGGACTTATGTGGCTCTGGGCTTATGAATGCTGTCCCCCATGGATCACTCCCAATGCCTCAGGCTCTGGGTTAAGTAAGCCCTTACTCCTCACAGCAACACGTGTCGAGGGTTCTGACATCGGATCTGCTGGGCAGATGAAGAAACCAAGAGGCTATGTGACATACCCACAATTGCACAGCTGATGTACTTGGGAACCTCTCTGGAAAACCCTAGGGAGCTCCCCTTGCCTCCTGGCTCTGTCTCCCTCTCTCATGC